TCTGTCAATACATTTGAACTACTGTCAGTGTCGTCTGAACTATTTATGTTGAATGATGTGTCTGACTCAGTGTCTAGTGACGTACTTTCCGCACTACTTATTTGACCTTCTTCCGAATAAGGCTGTTCTTCCTCCATGACGTTTTCTTCAATGGTTTCAAAAACACTGCTGCTAGTTTGGCTCTCTTTGAGTTCTTTTCTTTCACTTATTGGACTGTTATCATTTTCTAACCAAACAATGTCTCTGCTCACTATAACCTTTTTTTCATCGTCTATTAGCTTATATCCTTTTGTTTCATCACAATATCCAATAAACGTATATGGTTTTGACTTTTCATCCCATTTTTTCCTTTTTTGTCTAGCACATGAGCCATCACCCGAGACCCGAAGATTATCAAATTACTAAGGTTAGGTTTCTCACTCGTCCAGGATTCAAATGGGGTTATCCTCGTTCTTGTTGTCGGAGACCTATTTATAAGGTACACAGCTGTGAACACTGCTTCTGCCCAGAATTCTTTTGGCAAATTTGCATCTGACAACATAGTCCTAGCCTTTTCAACTATGGTCCTGTTCATCCGTTCGGCAATTCCGTTTTGTTGTAGACTGTATGGGACTGTAAGTTGATGTCTTATACCTGCACCTTCTAATGTATTTTTCAGTTGACTGTTTACATATTCTGTTCCATTATCTGTAAGTAAGGTTTTAATTTTTCTGTCCAACTGGTTCTCTACATAATTTTTGAACTTCACAAATACTTCGGGGACTTCATTCTTCTGCTTTAAGAAATATACAAATACATTCTTGGAATAGTCATTTATCAGTGTGAAGAAATATCTTGAACCACCTATTGATTCGGTTTCCATTGGTCCACAAAGGTCGGAATGTATTAATTCCAGTACATCTCTGGCTCTCTTTCCACTAGGTTTAAATGGTTGTCTGGCATGTTTACCTTTAATGCACTCTATACATGGCTCATTTGTGTTATACTGTAAATCATAGCCGGTGGCCAAGTTTTTCAGTAGTGACATACCTTTCCTGTTCAGATGCCCTAATCTGCGATGCCATAGAATTGCGTTGTACATCACATTACTTGATACCATAACTTTAATTTCTGGCATAACAACTTTGTAAATACCATTGTCTAGATTCGCTTCAGCTAAGATTTCACCCTCTGGCGAAGTGACCGTACAACCCTTTACACTGAAGGTTACAGTGTATCCCTTCTCTACAATTTTGCTGACAGATAGCAGGTTTGCAGCTGCTTCTGGAATCTTGAGCACTTCTTGGACATCAATTTCTTTTACTCTACCTTGAACTAGGGTTTGTATTTTGGTACTCCCCATCTTGTCTACACTCATCTTAGAATTATTAGCAGTGGTTATTTGCAGAGGACAATTTTGTTCATTTTCTAGGCTGCTGTTTTCCATTACTATATGCGAAGAAGCACAAGAGTCAATGTACCACTCATTATTTTTCATGGTTTTAGCTGCGTTAAGAGCATAAAAATACTTCTTTTGGTCACTTTTACTTTTATCTTCTGAAGATATATTTTTTTCTCTCTCTGTAATGTCCTTTTGGTTTTGTTCGACAATTTTTCGCAAAATGTCCATATTTATTACATTGATAGCACGGTATCTTTTCAGTATTGACTTTCTTGTCTTCTCTAGTATATAAGACTGAGGCAGAGCTGCCTGCTTTGACACTGGATGCTGTCTTTACATCTTGCAATATTTTTGTTTTAATTGAGTCACTGGTAATTGCTGTTCCTGAGCTTTCTATCCCCATAATCATAGGTGAATAGGCTTCTGGTAATCCGGCCAATAGTAACATTCCTATCCATTCATCGTCTACTTTAAGATTTCTTTTAAGATAACTTTTAAGATTCACAAACTCGTGGGCCGTCGTAATAATTTTATTCACGTATTGGTCGACTGTTTCACAGTTCTGTAATCCGGTGGTTAATAGGGTTCGGAGTAAACCAACTTTTCTTGTTAAACCGGAGTCTTCAAATGCTTTTAATTTTTCCCAGGCCTCCTTAGCATCCTTCGAGTCTTGAAATATGAACATAATTTACGGGATCTACTGATAGTATTATTTTAGAACGAGCTTTGGTTACCTTTTTCTGGTCGGTCTCAGTTCCCTGTATACAATCCCATAAATCTTCATGCTCCAATAGAGCCTACATGGCGAATTTCCACGAATTGTAATTTTCTCGTCCAAGTAATTTCTCAACACATAACGATGTGCTTCCCGCGGCCATTTTGTCGACAGAAAAATGTGCTGTTCGGCCACACCTTGTAAAAACCTTTTTCAGTAAATACGGTTACTTCATCTGAGGTTTATCATGCACTGAGACTGGCGCTGCAACTGGGCCCATAACCTGATGATATGCGAGAGCCTATTTGGTTTTTGAACACTAAATAAACGCTTTTTGAGTAAATGCAAATACTTTATTTCTGCACTCTTACACATCTGTCAAAAAAACATTTTTACACACTGGTACCAACACATTTTAAATTTTTATTTCATACTACCAACGCTCCGAGCGTCATTAAAAACGTAAAAGTGTTAATTTTCTATCTTCTGTGCACTTTGAGCATCAAATCGAACACATCTAAAGTCGTGGTTTTTATTATATCCATAACCATTAATAAACCTACTTCTGTCAAATTAGAAGAATCTGCTTTACGAAATTTGCTTCCATTTTTTAAATTTAATATGCACAAACGCTAAAACATCTATGTGGTAGGTACTGCAACGAGTGCAACAGTTCTATTCTATAGCCAGCAGATGTAGAAATTCATCTGGAAGTAGCGTACGCTCGCCTAACTACTACGCTGCGCGCAAAGCCGGCTGACCGTCTCATGCGGTGACGTCATTGCATTGCCATGGCTGAGACAAATACATATTCGCGTCTTAAAAATCATATAGGTTGAAAACCGCTTAACGGATTGAGTTGAAATTTTCAGGATTGCCTAATCATGAGCAGTACTTTGTGTATACAAAATAAGATTTTTTTTTGAAAATTTACTGAATGACCCCATTCAACAAGTAGTCTAACATTTTTGGAAATGTTGGAGCTTTGAATATTTATCAACTTTACAACAGAAATTCAAGTGGAAATCCCACAAATTCATCAATGTGGAGGTAGGAAATTTGGTGCTGCTAAAAAATAACACTCCTCCAATGCGTTGGCCTATATAGTTAATGTAAAAACAGTTAATGGTGGAGTGAAATGTCACATTAACAAGATTTGTAAGTTACACATTCCTTCTAGGAATGTTGATATGCAAATGTTAAGGTTTGTTCAAATCTTTCTCAAATGTTTTGATAATTTCAATTATTTTATGTATAAGAAATTTAAGAAATTACCTTTGTATTTTTTGTTTAGAAAGCTTAAGTCTTTCTATGTTTTGTTATTTTCTTATTTAATAGAAATATGTAATGTTAATGTAGATATCATTGTATGTGTATGATAATGTTATAGTGCAGTACTACGCAACCTCAATAAGAAGGGACTTTTTTAATTGCTGTAGAGGTCTTTTAATATCTCATGAGCCGCGAAATGCGCGAAAGGCGTGGCGTATCCCCATAATTCTTCTAATAAGCACGTTGTGAAAACATTGACTCAGAACTAGACCATGTGCATCATTACAAGTAGACATGAACTAAGGCGCTCGGGCATCAATAAAGTCAACTGGCGAACGTTCGTTATATATATTTTTATTGTTTAAATTAAACTAATAAAGAATAGGGCATTTTATTATGATATTTGTAATCGGATCAAAGGCTTGTTTACGCTAGAGCTCGAGAGAGACTGTGAATAATAGGTGTAATGTTTTTAGGACGTAGAATAATTTAGGCGACGGTCGGAATTATGTTTCTGCGCATATGAAGGTCAAAGCTCATAAGATTTTAAAACATCTCTACTAGCTTTTTTCAAGATTACACGCATTTACAGTCCAGTCATAATTATTATTTGTATCACATTTGTGTTACTTAGTATTACAACAAATCTAATCAGAACAACTGTGTCAGTGTTGTATCAAGTGTATCATTATCAGAATTGTCATTACACAAGAAGATTCAACAAGTAGCATTTTCCAATATAATGCTTTTTCCTGCAAGTTACAGGATATACAAGCTTCTATACAATATTCATGACATTTTTTTATTTTAAATTAGAGCAAGTTGGTTTAAAATAGTTAAAAAAAACTCATACTAATTACATAAATGATAAAAGAAATGTCTGTCATAGTGACAATGTCATTTTAGGCAACAGCTGATTTCCCCTCCGTCAACTCGTCTGAAAAACCAAAATGAAACGCTAATGATTGATTCATCATTAAAAACGGTTTAGGTTTATCATCAGTTAGAAACAGAAACATAGATGCATAGGGATACCATCTCGCCATTATTCCATGGCTATAAATTGGCCTCGATGATTTGGGGCCGAGGGGGATTAGCCCCATCCGTCGTCTACCCCGACCGCAAATGCGGCCGGTGTAGGCGCTTTGTGGGACCTCCTTTTGTCTAATGCCTTTTATGGTGTAATGGATAATGCGAATACTGTTTTACACAGATGCAGTGTTAATGACATGATCAATTTTAGTTTGATCAAAACATGCCTTTTAATGAAATATCTGTATGATAAATATTTAAACAAATAAAAAATAATTTATTGGGTACTTTTCCACCTCTGAAAAAACGTAAAAAATTGATTGAAATAAACCCTGGTGTTGGATCAGTAAAGGGTTATTTTTATGAAAATAGTTTTACTTGACTAGAGATTTCACTAAAAAAAGCAGGCAAATGCAAAATGCCCATTACTAGATATGTCTTCTAAACTGATGAGTTTTCATTTTTAATTGTTCTTGTTTTTTGCCCGTTTCCAAAGTTAGATATATTAATATGGTGTTCATTCTATTATTACTTTAGTTTAGTAGTTTATTAAATACACAATGTATGATTATGATTTTATACTCTCTGTTTTAATTGTAGGTACCACATGAAGGTCCCATGTGTGACTTGCTTTGGTCAGACCCAGATGATCGCGGCGGATGGGGCATTTCTCCTCGTGGGGCAGGCTATACATTTGGTCAGGATATTTCTGAAACTTTCAATCACTCTAACGGTCTTACCCTGGTATCAAGAGCTCATCAGCTGGTCATGGAGGGTTACAACTGGTGTCACGATCGAAATGTAGTAACTATCTTTAGTGCTCCCAACTATTGCTACAGATGTGGCAACCAAGCTGCAATTATGGAATTAGATGATGCCCTTAAGTATTCATTGTAAGTAATGTAATTTATATTGTTTAATTTTTTTTAAAAGGCTACGAAAATATGAATTCGTCATGAACTTTCTACAATTAATGAAATTATGTACACATTCATTCCCTTAAATTGACATATAAGGTGTTAACGAAATGAGTACTCAAAATTGGAGAGTATGTAAAACATGTCGAAATATGATGAAAACCTTATTAGAGTTTTTATTAGTGGCATCCCCTAAAGGAGATACATCCCCTTGAAGGGGTAACTCAGGAAACAGTTTTTATTTTATAACTTCAAAACGGTTTAATATTAAATCATGAAATTTTGGGGTTGTATTACTATTTATATGCTTAATATACAAATCAAACTTTGCTACAGGGCCTAAGGAAATGCGGGATGATGAGGCAAATAATACAATTTTTTTGTATGCATTTTTTCTACTTTCTGAACTGAAAATATGAAAATTTATCATATTTTGCATGAAAAAGGTACTGTTAGATTTTAATAGCATAACCTGTAAAATAATAAGTGTTACTAAATCGGAGCATAATATCACAGTTAAGTAGATAGTTTTGTAGTAAACAGTGACATAAATAATTTTGAATAATAAAATGTCATTGTTATTATTTTTATTTGAAAATCTAAAAATACCAAAAAAAGACCCATGAAACAAATTTTTTATTGTAAATGTAGTTTCACCGTTGAAGATAATATTGCATTATGGGCTAATTCAGACGCGGCGGAAAACGCGTGGATGCATACCGCACGGATGTTATAGTTTTTCCGAAGTCAATTGAAGAACCTATAATTTCAAGGTATGTACCAGGCTCGGTCGCTAAGCAGCAACTCGGCATTGAAATATTTGAAAAACTTGTTCCCATATTTACTTAACCATACCCATATATAGGTCTGGTCGAACTAAACGTGCAGGTGGTAGAAATGTATATGACCAGTTGAAGAATGCCAGCGCAGCCAAAGGAAAATGAGCACGGTTTTATTGGGCTTCTGGGCAATAAATCACAGCAGGTGCCAAGTGGTTCATAAATTGCCCAGCAGTGCAGTGTACAGTGCGGAATTTGGTGTGAATCAGGCAATTTTAATTTATTATAGGCACCTTCTATCAATCATTCATATTACAATTGCGAAAGGGAGAAATAAGAGGGATATTTTGTTTACTAATTTTATCACAACATGGCATTTTGGAGACCTTTTGAAAGGGAACAAAACAAAATTTACCACCAATATAATAAAATTGTTTGAGGACATAAATAATTAAAAAATGTTGTTGGCCAAATGAACATATAATAGAAATTTTCTACACATTATATACAAATTATTATAATTTTTTACTTTTAGCAGAAAATTTTTTTAGCCTATGAAACCCATTAAATTTTATTACCAGACGTTTTTTTGCATATTCAACTGACTTTGGAAGGACTATACCGTTTTCGAATTCGTTCACACCTGTCGGCCGCGGATAGGTGATCCGCGCGAAGTAGCCCTATAATAATTTAGTTTATTCTATGTTTATTACAGTATCTAAATTCAAATTTCTTAGATTGGAATATTGAGTATGTAATCTAATCAGTAATTGACATATACTTGACACCTTTGTTAAGTGTCATAAATAGTAATTTTCGCATGGCACAATTTGATACATTTATTTTCAGCAGGAATTTTTCAGCACATAATGAATTATTGAAATTGATTTTACTAGAAAACGGCTCATGCCATTAAAATCTTAACAAGAGTACCTACCTCACGGTGGGCTTGAAGAAGACTTAAATGCGAAGTTTTAGCACCACCGATTTTCTTTTGGCATTCGATTCCTGGAGTCATAAGAAAGCCAGAAAAAAATCCACCGTAATCCTTAGAGCCGTTTTCGAAAAAACACCCTTTTTCAACGAAGAAAAATTCACTGTTAGAGATATCGGGATTTTTCTACCTTTCGCTCACTTTTAGTTGTCAAACTTCCCCAATTTGGCAAAAATGACGTTTTTCTGAAAGTTTTACACTAGCACACAAACATTTACAAGCATATTTTTCAAATTGCCCCATTTAATAAGACCGGAGATACTTATTGACGATTCTCAGAAACAGGTTAAAAAAGAAAAAATTTGAAAGAATGATTTTTCATTCGAGTGAGTTTTGCGGAAGTATGTCAACAAACGAGAATCATGTCATTTATTTCCATCCTTGTTTGATTTACGAGGTCATTGAACCATCGCCAACCCCCACCCCCTGATTGTTTGTTTACGTTTTGTGATACTCCAGATCGAATGATCAATATTATTCGTGAAATTAGTTAAAACTCCAGATAATCTTCGACCCTTTGACTGTGAAGTTGTAATTGTTCTCTTTGAAATTTAAATTTCTTGTGAAAGTATGGACAGAAGATTAAAGGATTATGCAGGAACCCATCAAGAAAATCGGGAGCGGATATGTTTTCTCTGCCTGCAGAAGAAGAAACAAATGGTTAAAATCAGTGGTAATTTATGTGTGAATCTAAAAAAATGTGTGAATTATGCTGAACAGGATGAACATTTTCCCAATGTTTTATGTAGCGCTTGCAAAATTATCCTATATCGGTTAGTGAAGTGTGGAAGTATCGGGAAAATAGGCCTGCCGGACTATACAGAGTTCAAAATTTTGGAGAAGAATACCTACTCGGGCAAAAACTCAAACGTGCAGTTGCACGTTGTGTTAATTGGTACGAGATCCAGGGCCATATAACTTCACCAAAAAAATCACCAAAAAAATCACCAAGAACAAAAAGAAGAGGAGCAACAAGTGCAGAAAATGTGGTGAAACTTATTCGGTAAGGAAAAAACATTTTTGTAGCCCAGAAAAACACTTCCCGAGTTTCCAAGAACATGTAAGTAACTCGCTTGCCCCGAAACAGAGAGAACATTTGGCGTGTTCTTTAATAAAGGACATTGTTTTAAATGAAGACACAAATTCTCCCAGCTGGAGGAAAAAAACCGCGGGAGATGTTTGTAAAATAGCCACAAATTACGGTTTTCCCAGCAACGTAGTTTAGGTGATAGCGGGAGACTTATGCGTTGGCTCCCAAAAAAGAAACCTGTTTGAACCACATCTGAAGACGAAAATATCTACATACCGCCACAGGCTAGATGAATTTTTTGATTTCAAAAGTTGCCCCATAATAACGTCCAAAGGTGGTGGGGGAGGGTTTCTTAAGATTTGCCTTTCAGTGCAAGAATCTGATTCTGCTGTAATAAGACGATCGACAAAAATATATAGAGGGCATAGCGGCAAAAAGATTCAAGGATTCCGGAATGAAAAAGTTATTTGTTCTGGCAATAATTGCAGCCACACAAGAAAACCACGAAAATGTCAGAATGTTATGGTCTCTCTTACAAATCAATGATTTTGCCGGCACAATTGCGACCGATTTAAAACTCGCCAATATATTGGTGGGAATCATGTCTCATGCTAGTAGCTTTCTATGTACCTGGTGTTTTGCCTCGAAAGAAAGTTTGGACACTTGTGACGAGAAGAGGACTATAGAAAACTACCAAGAAAATTATTTAGAATGGGAAAAGACCCACTTCAAAAAGTCCCTTGCAAAAAATTACAAAAATTGCTCAAATTTGCCTGTTCTTTCAAGAGGCACGGATGACTCCAGACAGATTCTTGACATCATTGCACTCCCTGAATGGGGTTATTTCCCATTTTTCAATGAACACGTATTTACATTTATTGATACATAATCAACAAGTACAGTAAAAAAAATTGTTTGTGCACCTCAAGTAACTTTAAAATGAGTTTGAAATTTAAATTTCTTAATGACCGCCGAAATCATGACGTCAGAATTTTGTCATGCGCAGTATAGCACGAAGCAAAAATTAATTTGGTAGCCCTGCGCCACACCCTGCGTTTCTAACTTCACAAGTTCTGGACTGTCTAGTGCTCCTAGATGTTTATGTTTTCAGAGTGCCATTGAATGGTTCGATTATAGTTTATTTTTATGGGATAATTTGTGTATTGTGTAAATATATTCTGTGATTTAAAACTCTATATAATAATTAGTGTTTAACTGCACAGAATAATCAAGTAAGTTCAATGATGAAAATAAATCTTTTATACCAACCAATAATATTTTAATTGTAGAGATGAATTACAATTACAAGAAGTGTTTTGTACCTTCTTGCCAGAACACTACATTAATTCCAAGAAAATATTTCTATCTGTGCCAAAAATTGAAGATATTAGGAAAGCTTGGAGTGTCGCTGTTGGTCGAAGGAAAGTTCCATCAACATCTTCCGCAGGCATATATTGTTGTGAAGATCACTTTATTGTAAGTGCTTAGAATTATATTTTCTTCATTTTTATTTACTGATTTAATTAGATGTTGTAAATGCTGTGCACTCATGTCTTGGAGAACATTGTACTAGATTTAATGAAATAGATGTATTTTATTAATTTACAGATGGAACAAGACTGTGAAAACTGGATGGCATATAAATTGTTTCACACCCAGTTGAAAATAAAAAAAGATGTTGTCCCACATTGTAATTTAAGTGGAATTCCTGATGTGTCAAAGGATTTCTCTCAACTGAGTAAATCTGCAGAAAAGAGGAAAAGAAGCAATGTAGAAGAATATGCCAAGAAACAAAAACTTGATCCCCAGAGACTGGAATTTGATGAAGAATCATCTATATTAACTTCAACTGAACCTCAAACAGATTCTGCCAGTTGTCTTGATAAACCTGCGAGTAGTACATCTGCATTACATACATACATTTGCTCATAAAACTGTACAAGTAAATTTTAAAACAGCCAAATGTTCAGTTAGAAGTGTAGGTGTAAATACGACTAAACTCATGTCACGATCTGTTTTCCCTTAGTTACATGCACAAAAAAAAAAATTTCACCAAAAACATCATCCATATCTTCTACAAAATCCGATTCTGACTATAATATATCAACATCCGAATCTACCGATACTTGGCAAAAGACAACAGCCTATGTAACTAACACAAAGATAATTAATA